CCCGGAGGTGACCACATGGCGCGGCAGACCTCTCCTGGCCCGCCCGCTGCTCCCCTCAGCAGTGGACTTCGTCCATCTGCCTGTTCTGCTCCCCGCTCTGTTTTGGTGAAGCCTCTCGCCGCCCCTGAGCCTCTGGCCTGTACCCCAGTTCTGTATGCACAAATAAATCTTTAAACAAAACAAAACAAAACAAAACATTCTGGAGAAGAGGTGAATGGACTGAATGTCACTCAAGAGTGGCTGATGGTAGATTCTATATTATATAATTTTCTGCCAAAAAGTAACAGGAAAGGAAGGTTCAGCTTCACTGTCAGGGCAGCCTCGTCGGTGGTGGGACAGGCGGGAGGCCGCGTCCCCACAGGACAGGCCGGGTGGGGAAGGCGGGGCCTGGGCACCTGGCATCAGTGCCTTTGGGAGCCACCCAGCCAGGGACTGTGGGGGGCGGGGGCAGGTGTCCGGCGCGTGGGGGGTGCCGGGGCGAGTCCGACCAGGGACCGTGGCGGGTGGCGGTGGTGCTGGGGCCGGCCGTGTGCCGGCTGGCAGGGGACGTGCCCAGCTCTGTGTGCCATTCCCAACAGCCCGCAAAGTCGTTTGCCCAAACCCCTAATAGAGCTGGAGGTTACGCCCAAGCCTGGTATCTGCAGCTAACACCCTTCTGGTTTTGGGGTGCTAAGACTGGTCGGCAGGTCTGGGGGCGGCAGAGCAGGGAGCCCTCCAGGGCCAGCACTGTGGAGCTGTCCACGGGTTCGATCCCGGCCAGGGAGTGACCCAAGTGGCACAGCGGACCTCTCCCGTCTGGCCCGCTGCTCCCCTCAGCAGTGTACTTCGTCGGGCTGCCCGTTCTGCTCCCCACTCTGTCTCTGGGGAATCCTCTCACCCTCCATCTCTGCCTGTACCCCAGTTCTGTGTGCATGAATAAAGAAATCTTAACAAAAAAGTAAAGGTTTCGAAAACTTGGCAATGATGCATTTCTGCTGGCGAGAGAGGTGCTGGCACCTCCCGCTCTGTGGGGAGCGTCGCCTCTGTACCCCCAGCAGCAGGGTCGCTAGAAGGCGCCAGGAAGCCCAGGGCCACAGGCAGGAGGGGCCCCCAGCCCCGCACCGGCCACTGTGGCCCGCGGCCACTGTCTCCCCTGCCCCGGCGGGCTGTGGGCATGGGTGTGAGGCGGCCCCACGCAGAGGCAGGGGGGCGTGGAGCCGGCCCCAGAGCCCGCGTCCGGCCCGCAGCCATGGGGGGAGATGCAGCCAGCTTCGGGAGCAGCGAGGAAAGGGAGGCTGCGCCCCCCGAGGCACTGCAGCCACCGCCCACCCCCCAACCAGCTTCCTTGAGCCGCCTGGGGGCACTAGTGGCGTCTGCCCCAGAAGCCCCTGCCTGCCTGCCTGCCTGCCGTCCATGAGCCAGCCGGGAGGACCTCGGCCGGGGCTGGACGGGGCAGCCTCGGCTTCCAGCGGCCCAGCCGCCAGGCCTGGGGAGGCCCAACCCCGTAACAAGCAGTGTGACACGGACCGTGGCAGGAGAAAAGGGACGTGTCCGCCCGGCACCGCCCGGCGGCTGCCCCTCCCGGCCACAGAGCCGCGTGAGATGGGGAGCCGCGTGTTTTTGTCATGACTCCTTGGGGACGGTGGCTCTTGGGGTGCGGCCCACACTCTGAGTGGAGACCCCTGGGGTGTTTGCTTTGCCTGAGGCCCTGCTCACGGGCACCCATTGGTGGTCAGGCTGAGAAGGGCCCAGGGGAGACGCAGCACCGCCCGGAGACAGCAGCCCTCGGGGTGGGGGTGGGGGTGGGGGTGGGCGGCGGGGGGCCTCCCCAGCCCAGGGGCTGCCTTGCACTCGGCCCACGTGGGCCTGCCACAGGCAGTGCCCCGGAGGCTGTGGGACTCCAAGAGTCTGGGGGGCGGACGCCCCAGGCTGGGCCCCGGAACGCCCGGGCCCTGTGGAGAGGCCCAGGAAGCTTGGGGGGTCCCTGAGCCAAGTGCCCTTTGCAAACAGCCTAAAACTCAGAGGCCCAAGCTGTGGCCTGGGGGGCGCCGGGCGTCCCCTCTCTTCAGGACCCCCCACCACACCCCCACTCCCCCCCGCTGAAGCGTGACTGACAGCCTCCCCTCCCCTCCAGCTGCTTCTGGGGGTGGCAAACATCCTGGCTCCCAGCTCCCCGCAGGGGCCCTCACATTCTGCCGTGTCCCCCAAGCTGGGGGGGTCTGCCTGTCTAGGGCAGTTGTCCTGCACAGGGTCCCAGACCCTGCCCTGGGCCTTAGGGGCTGGTCGCGGGGTGGGGCGGCCCCCGGCGGGGGCTACTCACCCAGAAGCAGGTTCATGAGCACCTCCTGGCCGGCCAGCGTGCTGCTCTTCACCAGGCACAGGATGGTGCCCCCGACCCAGGGGATGCCGTGGCCGGTGATGCCGATGAGCTTGACCATGGAGCGGGCGCTGGCCCAGGACGCGGCCCGCCCGGCGCAAACCCCCAGCCGCTTGGACATGCAGATGTCGATGGCCAGCAGGGAGCTGAAGGCGATCCCCTTGAAGGAGGGGTTCAGCTGCATGCAGTCCTCTTCGGGCAGCTGCTGGGACTGTCTCCGCTCGCGCTCCCGGGGGCCGTCGCCAGGGCCTGGGGGCGGCCCCGAGGGGCCGGGCGCCTTCCTGCCGGAGCTGCCGCGGGCCTCCGGGGCCCCCTTGGGGGGCTGGCTCAGGGACAGGAACTCTGCTCGGTTGAGGACGTTGTTGCGGTCCCGGGCCCGGGCCCGGCTCTGGGAGGCCGGCATGGCGGCGCTCGGGCCGGCCGGTGCCAGCGGCAGTTGGGGCCTCCTCCCGGACCAGCCGCGGAGCTGCCCCTCTGCTGCGGCCCTGGCCGCCGCCGCGGCTGTTAAATATAGAGCAGAGGCTCACACATAGCTGTTTACCTCCGGCCGCCCCGGCTCGGGACGGCGGTGCCAGCCTGGCAGCCAGTGGAGCCCAGCGCGCCCGCCCGCAGCCAATGGGGCCCCAGAGCTGCCGCCTCACAGGCGCGGCCGTGCCTGCGGCCGGCTGGGCTATTTAAATCTCCCAATGGCTGGCCCCCTGGGCTCCGGGGACGCTGGGAAATGTAGTCCTCCTGTCGCCGGCCGGCTGTGCCCCCGCTGAGGCCCAGATGCAGGCCCGGATGAGCCCTGCTTCTCCCAGCTTCCCGGAGCAGGCCGGACCGGCTAGCCAGGCTGACCCCGCCGCTGGCCTGGGCGGCCGGACGGGCCCTTCCCCCGCTCCCCCAGCGCCAGATGGGGAGTGTGCCTGCCGGCCTGGGCCCCCGGGAAGTGGCCCGGTGCCCCCACCCGGGCAGCACGAGGAAGCCGGGGCCTGGCTGTCCCTTCCGCTGTGCTGTGCCCTCTGCCCTCTGTGGCCAGCACTGCCAGGCTCTGGACGAGCGCCGCGGGGCTTCGCACACCCATAGATGTTGCCCGACCAGCGCCCGGGCTGGGCGCTGGAGTCTCGCAGAGGGGCATGGCTCTGTCCCCGGCCCGGAGCTCACTGGGGACGGGCCGTGACACACGGAGAAGAGCGCACCTGTGCAGGCCTGTGGCTGGCCGTAGAATCGGGCCTCTGGGCCCGGGCGGGCCTCGAGGGTGTCCTGCTGAAAGGACGGGCGGTGGGCGCGCCAGGCCCGGGCAGCTCTGGGGCGCCACAGCACAGGGGCGTGAGAAGCTGCTGTCCCCACAGGCAGGCTGGACGGCCCCATCGGGGACCCAGGGCTCGGGCGCCTACCTGGCTGAGATGGGGGGCCCGTGTCTCCACAGCCCGAGCTCGAGGGGAGCCGCTGACTTAGCGAGAACAGAGGAGTGAGGCGTGGGCTTCCTGGTCTCGTGACTCAGCCTGGAGGAGACAGGAGCCCACCGTGAGGCCCAGGGGCAGGGCCAGCACCTCCCAAGGGCAGGGAGCTGCTGGGTTGGGGTGAGTCTCTGCACAGGGCAGCAGCCCATGGGCCCAAATCACACAGATGCTGGGCGACCCAGCCCCTCCTCCGCCCCGTGGAACTGGGGCGAGTCTCGTGTCTCTGTGCTCGGGGTCTGGGATCACAGCGCCCTGCGCCAAGGGCAGCACTCGACCATGGAAGACGCCGGGACGGGGTGGGGGCTGCTGCGGGTTGTGTCTTCACCCCTGCGGGTCAGGAACTCATTCTGCCCTAGCAGCAAGGCTCCCACCCTGCCCCCCGCGGCTCCCCTCCGGAGGACCCACCACTCCACGCTGGCCCCCGGTCGTCCATACCTGGCAGGGTGAAGCCAGACGCCAGGACCCTTCCTCAAGTGCCTGGCAGAGTCCCTGGGCTCCTCCCTCCTTCCAGAGAGTTCCACCAGCCCGTGCGGTGTGGTCACGGGGAGGGTGTCCGACCGCCACGCTCCCGCCTCAGGCAGGGCTCAGGCCTGCCGCTTCATAGGGGCTCTCGGACGTGAGCGGCTCTCTAGACCGCCGCTGGGCGTGCGTGGCTTTGCTTTCTCTCTTCTGTTTCAAGACATAGTGAGAGTTTCCAATATTACTTATGAGTCCTGCTTTACTGGTCCTGACTGCTTCCCGGCCAGGATCCAGCCCGTGACTGCACGTGCTGACCTGTCCTGGACACTACAGGTGCCTAGGAAGGTGCGTGCAGGCGCCTGGGAGCTGCACCGTGCGCCGAGCCTAATGACACCCAGGAGGCACAGTGACTTCGTCCCATTCGTAGACAAGCAAGCTGAAGCTCACAGAGATGAAGGCTTCTACCTGGAGTCCCAAAGAGGGCAGGACCCCCAAAGAGGGCAGGACCCCCAAGCAGTCCCTGGGACGGGGCCAGAGGGCTTCGGGACTGAGACCCCTCAGACTACGGGGGCCTGGTTGTGCTCACTTGTTTTTCCTGACTGGGACCCATGTCCGGGGCTGACCCCAAGGGCAAAGTGACCCGTTCCAGAGAGGGGCTATTAATACCCAGAGGCTTGTGTCAGCACCTCGGGCTGCCCCAGCCTGCCAACAAGCTCCAAGAACCACAGTGAGCTCTTCGTGGGGGGGGCCTGGGTGCCAGCCTGGGTTCTGGCCCAGGAGTGGGTAAGGTCAGGGCTCCGGAGGGGCACAGCCTGCTCAACTCAGGCAAGTCCACCCAGCCCAGCTCCTGGCCTGTTTGCCCCGGAGGGGTGGGCGAGGGGATGGGGGGCGGGCCCCCTCCTCTGTAAGGTGGGGACCCTGTCCACACTGTCAGGTGCATCTGCCGTGGGCTACTCTTCTCAGTCTCAGGAGTCATTCATTGAGTCCATGCTTTCATTAATCTCTTCCTGTGGCCGTGAAATAATCAGCCAGCTTATGAATAAACAGTATAATGGTACCAATCGCTTCATTTTGTCCACACTTCATGTTCACTGCAATCACTTCGATATACAGGGGAAGTAGGAGTCTCTGCTGCCGGGAGACCCGCTGTTAGCGCTGTGAGGGCACGAGGGACTCTCCCTTGTGTCATTCCCAACACTGCAGCATTTCCCGACAAGCACACGTCTCCGTATCGGTGTGTCATGTGCGTGTACACACACAAAGATGCATTTAAGAAATGTGATCGCATCGTATGCCCTTTAAAGAAAAACCTACCCTTTTCCCTTAAAATAAACCTGGCCACGTTTCCATGACAACCCATCATTTCTCAGTGGCTGCTTGTCACCCATGCGGCTGGGCCCTCGCTTCTGTAAGCCATCCCTTATTAATGGACATTTAGATGGCTCCCACTGTGGCTCTTCAAAACTGTTCTGGCATGGCACCCCCTACCCACCCCACGATGCCAGATGCGGATCGTAAATACACGGCCATGTGGCAGGTGCCAAGTAAAACAGCAGCTCAGCTGCACCCCGGGAGCCAGAGGGCCAGCCAGAGCCACCCACAGCAGTGCCCAGCCTGGGGTGTGACGGATGGTGGGTGGTCAGCCTGCAGGACCGTCCGCGGGGGCACAGATGGCAGTGGAGACAGTGCCTGTGGCCGCTGGTCCTGCAGCTGCAGCCCGTGGGCTGCCTTCTCGGCCACGTGGAACACAGCTTCGTCTCTGCTGGCCCGGACCCCTCTGTCCCTTGCTCATTCAGGGGCTTAGTCATCAAACATGTCCTGAGATCTAAACTGTGTGCCGGGGCCTGCCCTGGCCACTGAGGGAGCGACCCACAGGATGCAGCAGCCCTCTCCTGTCTTCCTGCTGCCCCCCTCAGCAGTGGACTTCATCAATCACCTGTTCTACTCCCCACTCTGTCTCTGGGGAATCCTCTCACCCCCCATAGACCTCTGGCCTGCACCCCAGTTCTTTTATGCATAAATAAATAAACTCTGTGCCAGCCCATGCCAGGGGCAGTGGGAGATGACGCTGTGGCCCCCCCATGTGGGCCCCCGGGCCACACCCCGCGCCATCTGGGTGCCACATGGTGTCCTCGAACGGTCCCTGCTGAGAGAGGGGCCCACAGGCGGTGAGAAGAGACCAGGACGTGACTCGGGGGTCAGCCTGAGCCCCACTGTGGCTGGCTGACGCTGGAGGGGCCGATGGGCAGCATGGGGGCCGAGAGCAGTGTGCCAAGTGCAGACACCTGCTGCCTCTGATGCTTGAGCTTCACCGCTGCTCCTGCCAACCCTCTGTGGGGAACTGGCCCTTCCCTGCTCTGGGCTGCACTCAGCGCACGGCAGTGAGAACCGGCAGTGAGAACCGCGCTCCCTGGCTGGGCGCTGAAGAGCCCTGTCCTGGCCCTGTCCAGCGGCTGTGGAGGGAGGCGGCTTCCAGCCTCAGCCTGTAACGAGCCCCCCAGAGCGCCCCTGTGTGTGTGTGTGGTGCCTCTTGGCAGGACGAGGCTTCGGCTTCGAGCAGGGCTGTTGGCTGTTTGTTTAGGGACCAGGGCGGGCGCTGCCTGGCCCCAGTAGCACCCAATAAACACCGAGCAGATGAGTGGCCGCTGGCCAGAAGTCTGCAGACCTGACAGCAGAGCCTAAGGGCCATAGGGGCCCAGCGCGGGGTGAGGACCCCAGAGGCGAAGGGGGGCGTGGTGAAGTTCACGGGGACACGCGGCCTGGGGAGGGGGCAGCGGGCCCCCTGCTGGAGGGGAGGGAACCGGGCCAGGCGCACTGTCTCTCCGCCTTCCCACCCAGGCGCTCAGCGCTGCGTCCTCCGTTCGCATTTCTAAGGCCGCGCCTGGGTTATTTCGGTCGGGAAACCTGATCCCTCGCCGGGTTTATTTTAGCACCTTGGAGAACTCCCAGTGCCGCCCGATCCGGCCGTCGCTGCCTGCGCCCCGCCCTCCTTCCCGCTGGGCCTTGGGGGGCGGCCCCAGAAGATGCTGGGTGCCTGAGGGGCGCGGGCAGGGCGTGTGGGAGGCGGCTCTGACTGCTGCCTGACCTGGGGCGCCCTGAGCTCCAGCGCCCGCCCTGGGAGGCCATGGGCGCCAGCTCAGCTGTGGCCCCAGAACCCCCAGGCCCGGTGAAGCCCCCCTGAGGGGCAGAGAAGCACGGGAGCCAGAGGACACATCCCCCGGGACCCCAGGGGTGGCTCAAATCTGCCAGGCTGTGGAGGAGCCCTCACCTGCCCTCACCTGCCCTCACCTGCCCTCCATGTGGCCAGGGAGTCTGTCTGGCCAGGACCTACTAGACGCCCCCACCAGCCCAGAAATAACTCCCAGCACACCTGCCCGCACAGACACGCCTCAGCCCACACTCGCATGACCCACGCGGCCATGCGCTGCGCCCTCACGTGGACACGCACCCACCAGCCAGCACGGCCAGCACGCGCACTGGCACGCAGGTGCTCACCCCGCACACCCCCACACCCCGCCATAGCCAAGGCGCTCCCTTACCCCTCCCGCCACTTGCACCTGGCTCACACCCGCCTGGATGCGCCCCCACACCCCTCTCCCTCCTGCCTCACACAGACGCCCTCGTTCCCACCGACACTCGCGCACCCCCACGCCACCCGGACATGCTGCACCCCACTCCGCCGCCCCTCCCCAGGCTCGCCCCGACAGGCGCCCCCTGCGTCTGCACCCACAGCCGTCGGCCCCGCTCACAACTGCTGGGGCAGAGCTACGAAGCGATTTATTATTTATAGTAATGAAACCTCCATCCGTCATTCCGGGGGGAGCCCTTGACATCTCTCTGGCTCACGCCAGCGCCAGGGGACCCACTGAGTGTGTGGCCTGGCGTGGCCCTGGCTGTGTGCCCGACTTTGGCCATGTGCAGGGGCCAGTCCACACTGGGGAAGGAGGCCCGAGCTGGGAAGGACCTGCCTGACCTCGCACGGCACGGAGGGAATTCTGCTCTGGCCAGAGCCGGGGCGTCGAGGTCGCGTCCCCCCAGACAGTTTTCGGCCCTGCCCCAGTGACATCATCACTGAGCCGGGCAGAGGCCTGAGCCCGCTGGCCGCGCTGGGTCGTGGGTGCTGTGCCCGCCAGGCCCCGGCCCTGTCCCCTGCCCGGCCGCTGTCCCCTGCAGGGGCGAGGTGCAGCCCAAGGCCAGGGGAGCCCCGCCTCTGGGGCCTCCGACCTGCCTCTCCACGCCCCTCTGGCCACCTGCCTGCCGTCGGTCCCAGCCTCACCGCTGGCTCCCAACCTGGTGCCACACAGTTAGGGGAGAACCCCATCTCCCAGGCAACGGCACTCAGCAGTGCCATCTCTGCACGGGGCTGCCCCTCCGGTGAAATGCCTGTCCCCTCCTGGCAATGGCTCCCCTGGGCGGCGGCGGGCCCAGGCGACAAGTAGTTCCAGGAGAGGCCTGAGCCTCTGCTGGCCACTGCCGCTGCCGACCACCCCACAGCTGCAGGGGACATCGGGAGAGGCTGACCCCCGCCCCGGGTCTCAGAGCCGGGGTCCGGCTCTGAGCAGGTCTCAGGGTCCCCATCTCTAGGCCCGGCAGCCAGGTCACTATGGGGGTCGCCCATGTGGAGGCCCTGGCTTCGAGGGAGCTCCGGGGGGCTCCCTGCTGCATGTTGAAACCTAACTGGGCCAGTTCAGTCTTTCTCACCTCCGATGTGCTGTGTGACTTTGGGTGTTCACCATCTCTCTGGCGGTTCCCTCATTTGAGGGGCTTGTCCTCCCACTGACACCCTCTTGGGGGAGGCCTTGAGTCCTCCCCCCACTGCTCACTGGTGACATCACCGCAGAGGGTTCTGCAGAGCAGAAGGAGCTCTGGGGTGGGGGCCGGGGTCCCAGGCTGGCCTGAGCGTCCAGATGAGGTCGGGCAGCTCAGCTGTCCCCTCCCTCTGTTCTGTGTGGGTGTGTTGTGGCCTTGCCCGGAGGCGGAGACAGGGGGGCTCTGTTCCCAACGCCCAGGGCCAAGGCTCTGTCCCCAGCGTAGCAGCCCTGTCCTCAGAGGGCACCCTGGCCAGTAGGGTCTGCTCTGATCCAGGTTCTGGGGCCACAGGGGCTGGAAGGTAAGGACACCTCCAAAGTTAACTTTACCGATAGAGATAAACTGACTAGCAGAGCAATTATCTGATGAATCCCGGCCGGACAGACTGTTTCCTGGGTGCCGAGAGACCCCGTGGGTTAGGCCAAATATGGACATTACATAGGGGCTGAGGCCGGCTGTGCTGGGACTCGAGGCTGAAGGCCGGTCGTGGCTCCTGGGGCGTCGGCTCAGCCACCCTGCCCTGGTCTCAGGAGGACTTGGTGCTGAGCTGGAACGGCTGGGGCTTCACCGGCCAGCGAGTGTCCGTGGCTGTGGGCCAGGCAGCGCAGAGAGTGGCTGGGGAAGGGGCAGTGACCACCTTCCCTGCCTGAGCTGTGTTGGCATGAGATGGATCACTTGGTCTGCCAGTCACCTCACAAAGAGGAGACCTCAAAGTGGCCAGACCCCCCCATCCCTGTGTTCACTGGCAGCCAGGGTGCTCTGGCTTGGAAGTGGCCCAAACCGCTGCCCAGTGCTCCGTCTTGGGCACGTTTGGGAGTCGGTTATGCGGGAGGTATCTCCTGGCCTGGCTGCCAGGTTTTCTGATCCTTTGGCCTTTCCTTGTGGGGGGCGGTTGGGAGGGGAATTGCAAGGTGGGGGCTGAGGCTTTTCGAGGTTCACAGCTCTCCTGCTGTTGTCCAGGCCAAAACCCTTCAGCGGGCCTCTGCATCAGGCCTGGGAGGCGGGGGTGTTCCCGTCTCAGCAGGACACCTGCCAGGCGGGGCCTTGGACAAGACTCCAGGTCTGGGCGCTCTGGGTCCCTCTGGGGAAATGCACTGGGCAGATGGCCTGAAGTGCTCGCTGACCTGACCACAGGCCCAGCAGGCTGAACCGTGTCCGGGAACCCAGGGGCCCAGGGCAGAGCCAGCAGAACAGAGACCCTTTCCGCCTGCTTGTCTCCGGGACCCCCGACCTTCCCAGTCCTGGCGCCTTCCCCAAGCCCTCCATAGTTTCCACCGGGCCAGGAGTTGCGGGGCGCCACCCTTCTGCGCGAGCCCCGGAAGCCAGCGCTGCGAAGGGCAGGGAACAGCCCACCTGGACCCGAGACAGGGGCCGAACTACACTACCCAGAATTCCCGGGGCTAGCCCGGGAGGAAGTGTCGTTCACGCCGGAGAGGCGCGCCCCCCCGCCCCCCGCCCCCCGCCCAGCAGCTGCAGAGAGGGGGAGGGGGAGGGGGAGAGGGCTGCCCGGGGGAGGCGGGC